AGTTGCTGTATTTGGGACGTGGCCTCAGCATGGCCGGAGAAGCGGTGCGTCGGTGCGCGCCCGGGATCCGAACCCGGGCCGCCAGCAGCGGAGCACGCGCACTTAACCGCCAAGCCACGGGGCCGGCCCAAATAAAATCTTTAAAAAAAAAAAAAGAAAAGAATGAGAGAAACCATATGAACAGACGGAAAGATGTCCCAGAGATATTATTAAGTGAAAAAAGCAAATTTCCAAATAGTATGCATGTTAAAATCTTATTTTTATTTTAAAAATATTAATAATATGTAGTTCTCACTAAAGAGAGACAACACATCAAACTGTTGTTGAGGGTCTCTGTGAACAGCAGGTTTGAGAAGTTGTACTTTCTACATTTTCTAGATTTATATACAATGCATGGATTTTTAAGGTATTAATAATCATATATTACCCTTACGGTAATAAAAACAACAAATTTATGAAAAACACAACCATGGGGCCGGCCCAGTGGCTCAAGCAGTTAAGTGCGCATGCTCCACTGCGGCGGCCCGGGGTTTGCCGGTTCGGATCCCGGGCACGCACCGACGCACCGCTTGTCAAGCCATGCTATGGCGGCGTCCCATATAAAGTGGAGGAAGATGGGCGCAGATGTTAGCCCAGGACCAGTCTTCCTCAGGAAAAAGAGGAGGATTGGTAGATGTTAGCTCAGGGCCGATCTTCCTCACAAGAAAAAAAAAAACTAATTTTTAGAATAACATTGTGCTCTCTGTGCCAAGGTTGGTAACCATGGCAACCTAATTTTAAAGCAAAAGGAGATTACCACAAAAGTACCAGTCACATTTACTTTGGAACTTCAGAATCAGTGTTCTGTAAGTGACGGGGGTGGAATAAGTACATGGGAGTGACGGATGAAAGCTCTCATTACTGTCTAGCTTAGTCACAGAAAGGCCAGTGGGCGGGAGCATCACCTGTCCTCACATCTGAGCACCTGGTACTTGGGGAGGACTGGAGAATTGGCAGAGCCCTGTCATGGGCTCTCTGTCCCTGGATCGTGAGCACAGGCTTGCTATAACTCACCCAGGGGCACACAGCTGCAAAGTAGAACAGCTGGACTTGAACCTGTCTTGTCTAAATCCTGCGTTCTTTCCTCCAGACTACCAGCCAATTAGAAGTTCTCTGGGAATATGCATTTTTGTAAGTCCTTGGAGAAACCAGTACTTGCTCCTACCTGTATTTATTTAAGTCTTAAGTTCAAATAAAATGAATTCAAACATGTCAGCTGCTACCTTTCACTTATTTTCCGTAACTTATTTTAAAAAATGATCAATACACGATACATTTGGAAAGATGTTCTAGGCTGGTCACTTTGTTTCACAGGTTAAGCTGACGTTTGGAGGGGCCTGCCCTGAGCTGGGTGTGTTACACACAGAAGCCCTTTAAGCCATGTGACCATATGTCTGCAGGAGCCCGGACCCAGTTTCCAACTGCTGACCTGGCGTGACTGTCTGTAGTGCCCTCTTTTACTCTCATAGTGTCCTGGTTTGGACACTGCTTGACTTGGGCACCCTGCCTTCACTGTAGTACTTCTTTTGTTGCAATTTCCTGTGTTCATGGACATTGAATTTATGCTCTCTTTTGGAGGGAGGGGAGGTGATTTGGGTATATCTCTTGTTTTTGCCCAGCTCCTTTTATTTAACTCCAAGGTTAGTTGGTATCCTATAAGGCTACGGTTAAACTGTAGTAAATAACATTTTTTCTTTTTAACTAGCCATTGTTGTTTGTTATGGAAAAGGCATAGTGCAAAGACTGTGAAGTGAATTCAGCCAATGTGGGGCCAGTACTTTTAAGCTGATCCTATGTCAAGTGTACCTCTTTGGGGCTACCATTAGAGGGGCCAGGCTGACTAGCACCCAGGCTGCTCGTCCTTGGGAGGTGCATCAGCGTGAGGTCCAGGGACTGCGAGTGCTGCAGCGCAGAAGCAATGCAATTTTGCTGTAGGAAAGAGACAGCGGTAGGAGCCAGGCAAAACAGTAACAGTAACAACTAGCTCACAGGAAATGCAGGAGAGATGGCAGCCACACGCTCCAACCAACTAGGAGAAGCTACTAGACAGACGGCCCGGCCTCTTCAAGAAAAAATTGCAGGAGCAAAAAGAGACTTCAGGGAACTATCATCCAGTCACAATATGTGACCTTATTTGGATCCTCATTCAAGCAGACTGGGGGAAGAAATCATAAGATAGTTGGGGAAATCAGAGAATGACTGTTACTCTTTTAAATGTTTAATCCTTTTAGACATATATGCTTAAATAGGTCCGGATGGAATGAAGGGGGATGCTGCTAATTCAAGGCCATCAACTCCACAGTGACTGTGGTTCTCACATTCTCCTCAGGCGCTCAGTGTACCAGGAGACTGAGCCTGGCACTCAGGGTGGACCGTGCTCTGCTGGATGAGCTCCTCCGGCCTCCCATCGAGAAGTGTGTTTAAATTATTCAGCAGGGCTCTCTGATCCTTTCTGTTGGGCTGGGTTTCATTCTGTTTTGCTATTTGCAGCGAGAAGCGTTTGTAGATGCTGGGCCACTTTCCAAAGCAATAAAAGGCACATTCTAGAACATCTGATATGCCCAGCATGATCCATATTCAAATGGCCTGATTTATTGCCACAGACGAGAAGGGACAGAGTGTGGGAAGGCGAGCTGCTGCCAGTTAGCTCTGGCGTCACCAGAAGGTGGTGGTGGGCTGCCTGGCTTCCTGGCCCCTGACAGGGCTCACCTGAGGCTCAGTTGGCCTCCCTCCTCCTTTGCCAACAGCTTCAGATGACATTTCTGTTTTGGGGAAGTTCAGTGGCACAGGTGGAAGTTTGTATACCTCTGCCAGTACCTGAATTCAGGAAATTCAGAATGCTTAAAAGGTGACCGTGTTGGGACAGGGTGTTAACCCTGCCACGCCATCCACATCTTCCCTGTATCACCTGCTGATTTGTCTTCTGCGTTGGAGCTAGCTCTGTGAGCCAGCAGGCCGAGTCACAGCTCTCCACCCACGCCAGGGCTACTGCCTCCTGGAAACGGAGGTATCTGAGTGGAATTTTTTTCTTCTCATTTTTTCAGAAGGACAAGAGCTGCCTGTGGATATGGAAACCATTAACCTGGACAAAGATGCAGAGGTAATACTGCCTGCTCAGCCCAGCCTCAGGGGGCATGGTGATGGACCACTCTGACTGTCAGGGTATCTTTTATGAAGGTGCCAGATGAGTAAGTGATTTTCTCTGGAAGAGATCATCTGAGCCTGCCTTGGTTGGATCAGATTCCTTGTGTTCTTGTAGTTTTTAATACCAGTGATTGAAATCCCATTTCATTTAACCATTGAGGATTGTGTGGCAAATGAAACACCTTTGACTCATAAGTTATATGGGTGAAGTGATTATGTTGTCAGTGGTGGGGTCCTAACATGCCCACCATCTGAAAAGCACCGTGCATTAACAATTCAGCGTGTGCGGAAGACTGCCAGGAAGAGCAGACCCACCTGTTGCATAATAACCGACCCGGCGGGGGGACCCTATCCTGAACCCTCAGCTGGCCTTGGCAGTGATGTGATTGGGGTGCATCTCCTCGGAGCCTAGCCTTATGTTTTATGCTCCAGGGAGCTAGGGGTGAGAGAAATGTTTTGCATAGCGCTCATTTGGAGGGTCAGTTATACATGAAACCATAAATCGTAGCTAAAGCAGAGAGCTTCTTGCAGCTCCCCTGTGTGCTGCAGACTCTGTGTGGCGCTGGCTTACCGATTACTTTCCCTCACCTCCACCCACCTAGCAGGCTTCCTTGTAGCTCCTGTTCCAGGAAGCAGATCTTGAGGCAGTTCCTGTAGCTAAGCGAGAATTCTTCTTTGTTTCAGGACATTGATCTGAATCACTATCGCATTGGAAAAATTGAAGGATTTGAGGTGCTGAAAAAAGTGAAGGTGAGAGGGAGTCTATCCTTTTATTACGCACTTGGCAGGTTTCTAGAGCAGACCAGGAGGCCGGTAGCTCACCCAGAGTTCAGGCAGTGACTCGGACCTGCTGCTGCTTGCTGTGCCTCGGCTCAGAGCCAGCCTGCAGTTAAGCACACACCAAACTGTACAGTCCTTAACTCGCTTCAGTTAAATTTGTTTTTCAAAACTGTGCCCACTAATGGTTCGCTCTGCTGGGAAGGAGCACGCAGCCCTAACCCTGACCAACGCCTCCCTCACCAAGTAGGTCTGCTCAGTGCAGGGCCTGTCTCCAGCCTCCCTTTGGGTGTCTGCTTATCCTATCCAAGGTCAGCATCTTTCTAGAAAACAGTGAGAGAACGAAAACCACGTCCTCCCACCTGGAAGGCTTGTCCTGTGTCCTCTAACACAGCTGGCACTTTCTTGTGGCTTCCCTGTTGCCTATCTCAACTGTCCTTTTTTCTGTCCCCCAGACTCTCTGCCTCCGTCAAAATTTAATTAAATGCATTGAGAATCTGGAGGAGTTACAGAGTCTTCGAGAGTTGGACCTTTATGACAACCAAATCAAGAAGATTGAGAATCTGGAGGCTCTGACAGAGTTGGAGTGAGTCATGAGACCCAAGAAGACAAGAGTGGCCCGTCCAGTCTCCCCAGAACCATCTCTGTGCCCTGGCTCTCAGCCCTCGGGAGATCACGTCTGCCACAGGGTCCTGCCCTGCACCTGGCTTTCCACAGTCCCGACCTGCAAATAAAACCTTTGATTGGAGGTTTCTGGCTGGTCCACTCAGGGTTTTTGACATGGTGTCTGCCCTCAACACAGTCCTATGAGCCTGGGCAGGTGTCAGGGGCCCTATAGGCTGCTCCTGGCCTCCCTGGGCAGCCACAAGATCCAGCCCTTGGGTGATGCATGGTCCTCTGGGTGGGAATACTGCCTCTAAGTTACATTCTGAGTTCTGTGCAACCTGTGCTCATTAAAAAATAAATGTTCTGCTTGTTCCCAGGATTCTAGATATTTCTTTTAATCTGCTGAGAAACATTGAAGGAATTGACAAGTTGACACGACTGAAAAAACTCTTCTTGGTCAACAATAAAATCAATAAAATTGAGAACGTAAGCAACTTACGTCAACTGCAGATGCTGGAGCTGGGGTCCAACCGCATCCGGGTAGGTCAGGTGCACGGCCAGCAGCATGGGCTCCAGGAGAGGCAGCAGTGTGGACTAGATGGGGGTGGGTGCAGGATGTGTGGTTGGCTGTATTTTTCATATGGTGTGATTTTTTTTTTTTTTCTCAAAGAACAGGGAAGTAGGTTTTTGTTTTTTTTTTTTTAAGAAAAAATGCTAACTGAAGGTCAATATTAATAAGAATATGTGCCCAAAGGCAGTGGTCTAGCCTTTTGCACATAGATTTCATTGGCTCTCCATCCAAATCATGGCCTAACTCTTAGCACACCATCCCAGTATGTCCTGCCCGAGGTGAGCTGATCAGCCCCCAACACTTTGTTTCTGCTGTGCTGATGGTTGTGTCTGGTGAGCCTCTCTGAGATGGAAGCATTCCAAGCACAGCAAAGTGGTGGCTCGCAGCGATCTGACCTCCACGCCAAGGGCCGTAGGAAGCAGCCCGCAGCTTGGTACTTGGTTGGCCCGTCCTCCCCAGATACCTGCGTCTTCTAGAACAAGCCCATGGCAGCATTAGGTCCTGCCATTTACCAGGCTCTGTCCGACCTCTGAGGGCATTGGGCAGAGACTGTGGGAAAGCAGTCGGGGTTCCATAGAAGCAGGTGGAGGCCTTTACCCCGCTGACTTACAGCCACTGGGAAGAGCCCTGGGAGGGGGCACAGAGGGACTGACACTGGGGGCAGAGCTGCCAGCAAAGAGGGAGGGTCACCAGGACAGGCATGAGGGTATCTGCCAGCTAGATGACCATTTGACGCCCAGCTGGCACCCCAGTGAAGCCATGGCACCAAAACTGGTGCTTCTCGCTGGCCTTGTTGAGCAGCTGAGGGCAGGTGTTTCTGAGCACCTCCCCCTCCCTACACGTTGGAAGTGCCTCTCTATCCGGCTGCTGGAAGTTTACAGCACACTACAGTCCAACTTGGCCCTGGAGAGCTGGGCAGGATGCAAACCAAGGAGCGTTGGTTCTGGCAAGGGCCTCTCATGACGCTGCTAGGGTAACATGGCCACAAATAGCAGGGCAGCATATTTAAAACTAGAGAGTGGCCAGATGTCAGCATTTGTGAAGTATCTCTCTATGGAATGTTCTAGGAAAAAGGTGGCTTGTAACAAATCAATGCAAGCGATAGCAGTTAAGGGTGACCTCCCCCTGAATCTTCATCCTCTTAGACATCCCCTGCAGCCAGCAGCCAAGTCTTGCTGTGATGGGCAAGACAAGATGCACCTTCTGCTGAAAATGTTAATAGCTGACTTGTTCTGAGAAAGCAATGAACTCAGAGGACGAGGGAAACTGAGGTCTAGTCAATAAGCTTTCATTAAAGTACCGCTCTATGCAAGGCCCTGTGGGGATTTACAGTTGAGGAGCACAGAATCATAGCAAGGAGAAGCAAAGAAGGAGAGATACAGAAACTGAGGAAGAGGGGCAGAAAGCCATGGACTGTGGGCACCCTGCTCCCAGGGATCCTGAGTGGGCATCCCTGGGTCAGAGCTTCCAGCATCTCAATCTGTGAAGACCTAGGCTTTTGGGAATGCGTTTTAACGAACCCTACGTAGAATAACATAATAGTGTGTCAACACAGAACTGTAGAACTGGGTGGGACTTGAGAAATCCGTTTGTCCTTGGGTTTTCAGACTGTGTTCCCTTGAACTCTGGAGCTCTGAAAACTTGAGGGTTGGGAGTGAGCCCAAGAGATGAGGCCTTGGACCCTCTACCTTTTCTGGTTTTTTCATACTATACTTTCAAGTGAGATTTCATTGGAAAAATTTCCAGAGTGGAAAAGTAACTTGCCCAAAATCTCAGGGCTAAAATCCAGGTAGCTTTGTCTCCTTGCCCAGCCACCTTTGCTTTCCTTGGTGTAGCCGGTTGGCCACGCAGTGCTAACTGCTGCTCTGTCCTTTTCACAGGCAATTGAAAATATTGACACATTAACCAATCTGGAGAGTTTGTTTTTGGGGAAAAACAAGATCACTAAACTTCAGAACCTGGATGCACTTACCAACTTGACAGTCCTCAGCATGCAGGTATCAACCCATGTCCACTTCCCATCCTGCTGAGTCCGGCGGGGGCCAGAACTGCTAAACACACCATAGTTTTTATCTTTCACTGTGTCCATGACCGGCACTTCTTTTCACCCTCAGTGAGCGAAAAGTGAACCATCGAAATGTCAGATTTCACAGACTTTATACATATATACACACATTGAACTAAAATTTCATTCTTTAAGGGTCACATTCCTTTTCCTCATAACAGTCCTAGGTGGTTTTTAGCCAAAGCCGCCTTTTCAAAAGGTTGAGCCTATTCTAAGTCCTCCTGAAGCATTTGGCTCGATGGTGGGAGCGATTCCTTCCATGTCCGTACAGAGAGTGAAAACCCCGTGTTTGGGATTGGGAAGCACCTGAATATGCCTGGGCTTATGTCACCTTTTTTGTCAGAAGCAAATTAGTGGAATCAGACCCTCGAGGCAAGATGTGAGAGGGTGTTCTGGGCACAGGGCCTGGGTGTGGCAGGTCCCACAGATCCACTGGTGCCTTCTGTAAAGCAGATGTTCTGCAGACTTCTTTAAAAAAGAGAGCATTATATTTTAATTTGAGTTAAATATATACTGAAAGAAATGAGAATTTACTTTGAAATAGTGATTTTGACTTTTTTTTTTTTTTTTTTTGGTGAGGAAGATTGGCCCTGAGCTAACATCCATTGCCAGTCTTCCTCTATTTTGTATGTAGGATGCCTCCAGAGCATGGCTTGATGAGTGGTGTGTAGGTCCATGCCCGGGATCCGAACCTACAAACCCTGGGCCACCACGGTGGAGCATACGAACTTATCCACTATGCCACCAGGCTGGCCTCTTTGACATTTTTTAATTACTAGACTAATTGAGGTAGACCTTCCCCAAGTATATCTAAAAAAAGTGAGTTCTTTGCATAAAACCCTTTAACCTTCATGCATGAATTTTAGCTCAGTACAACAGACTTGAAATTTTGATCTTCTTTCTCTCTCTACACAAGTCCCATTCTGGCACGTTTTAAATGGAACATCCTGTTGTTAGAACTCTACAAGATAAGAAATCTCATTTCCTAAAAGCCCTTTTATTTCCCACCATCTACACTGTTCTGACAGCTGTCGGCTCTCCTTCTTGTAGAGCAACCGGCTGACCAAGATCGAGGGTCTGCAGAACCTGGTGAACCTGCGAGAGCTGTACCTCAGCCACAATGGCATTGAAGTCATCGAGGGCCTGGAGAACAATGTAAGACATCTGTTGTCTGTCCGTCTGTCTGGGGTGGTGTGGGTGCAGGCAGCAGCAGGCAGCTGGCCAGCCAGCACACACCGACCTCCAGGGCTGGTCTTAAGTAGACTTGTTGCCTCTAGAAGTTTATCGTAGAGACTTTCCAATCCTGAAAACAAAGTGATCCCTCCTTGAGCTGGGAAATGCATGAAATGCATGCAGTTGTCACTCCCCCCTTGAGCAAGCACTAAGCTGACACTTTATGCCACAGTCAAGCTGGTGTGCAATCTCAGCACAGGTATTGAGAGGGCCCCTCACTGGGGCACTGTTCACTGCATGGCCACCAGCAGCACGGTAGCCATTTGGGAAGATTTTCAAAAAACAAACCCTACGTGCTTCTGGGCGCCCCTGTGCAGCAGCTGACCCTCTCTCCTGGCCACTGCACTTTCTGGCCAGCTGCTGCCTCAACCCCACTTCCCGGCCCGCAGGGGCCACAGACACTAGTCTCAGCTGTTCTGAGTGAGCAGCACGCTCTCCTGCTCTTGGGGCTCCTGCACGTTCTTCCTCCTTGCTGCTTTTCACTAGCCCTAGCAGGACCAGGACTCCTGCTCTCACTCAGCATAGGACAGCCTTAGGTGTGCTGAGCGGAGCAGGGTGCTGGCCCCCAGCTCTCACAGAGGCCCTTGCCCTCTTCAGCTGTTCACAGGCCAACCTGCTTTTCCTCAGTGCAGTATCCAAGACAAATAAGATACTTTTTCTCATTCAATTTTGCTGGGGGTTTTCTTCTGTTTACTTGCCAGCAAATGTAAGCAGATTGGTCACTTTTGTTATTGTAAACACAGCGTTTCAGTCTTTGTAAAGGTTCCTTCAGTCTTTGTGCCTCAGCTCCTGGGCCTAATCACCATTAGTGATGTTTTTGGAGGGAATACCACATTCTGAATTTCATTTCACCAACATCTACATAATGTTTTGGAAAAGTTAGAATGTGCCTATGATAAAATTTAGTCACCTTCCTCCGCCTCACAATCAAATTGAGGGTTTACAAAACTGATATATAAACTGGGTCCTCACTCAGGCGGTGCAGAATGGCAGGTTGAGGCGCAGTTCTGAGAGGTGAGACTGTACGGAGGCCATGGGATCAGAGCTGGGCAGGGTGTGCTCACGGGATGCCCAGCCTGAGGGCCCACGCTCACAGGGAGCAGTGGGTCCCCTGCTCCCCAGCCTCCCCATGCAAAGTCCCCGCAGTCAACACTGAGCATCCGCCAGGGAGAGGGGCATGTCTGCAACGTGTTCCAACAGAGCGGCAAGTCCCCAGGCAAATGGGAAAGAAGCGAGAATTTAGAATTACTGGTCGGAGTGCTACACCGCCAGTAAGTCTGAGTTGAACACCAGATCATTCTTGGGCCTTTGAAACAAAACAGAAAAAAAAAAAGCAGTTGTGGCTTTAAAAGTAGTTATGTTACTGTGATATCCATCATGATCACATGCAACAGTCTTTCCTCTGGGATCCTTATTCAACTAGAGATCAAATATTCACCTATGTTTTCTTCTAAGTTTTATGTCTTAATTTATCTGGAGTTTATTTTTGTGGTAGTAGGTAAGGAAGTAAACGCAGCTTTTTCCAAAATGGCAAATCCACTGTCCCAACAACACAAAGGAGCCGTGTCCCCTACCCCGTGGTGCCCCCTCTGCCTGGGGTTTGCTCCTCGTACACTGGCTCTTCCCGTGCGTCTGGCAGCACTCTTGCAGCAGCCCTTCATGGGCTGTGTTTCGAATGTCAGAATCTCTGGGGTGCTTACTCTCCCCATCCTGTTCCGCTCTTTTTTAAGTAATTCTTACTGGTTTGCTTTTGAATGAGCTTTCAAAACGTAGTCCAGCTCCCCGGAAAAACAGGAGGTGGTATTGAGTGTGTAACTGAATCCCTGTGCTCAGAGATTCAACTCGTCCTGGCAGCCAGACACCCCTGGTGCTGAGCCTTTGTGCTGGGACTGCACAAGGATCAAATCCTACCACGTGTGCCAGACCCGTTTAGCTTTGCCCATTTCTGCACTTGCACATGGATGACAGCGAGCCCTGCAGAACAGGGGCAGAGAGCTAGAGATAGCTGTGGTCTTGGACCTGCCCTGTCCCCGCCCTGCCACCCACCGTGCGTCTTTGGCCACCTTCTGCAGAGTTCTACTGAGTCACTGTCTTCTCTGAAACCCCTGACCTCCTGCAGGCAGGAGCCTCCTGGCACGCTGCAGGCACTCAGCAATCTGAGGTGACGCAGTGGGCCCAACATAAGCTGATTGAAGGAGCTCCTCGTTTGCTTGCCATGCCCAGCTAGCACCCAGACATGGCACAGTCCTGTGTAGCTTCCTGAAGAGTGACCCAGCCAGTGCTCATGGCTGGTGGGGTGCTGGGTGTGGAAGTGGTGGGGGCCAGGCCCTCAGGGAGTCAGAGCCCAGGGCCGGAGTGCTTCCGAATCAGTAGAGCCCCTGGCTGTGTGCTTTTGTGTGTGTTTCTGGGTTTTGTTTTATTTTACTGAGACATTTTTCACCTTTCCCTTAAACCTTGGGAGGACTTGTAATCAGAATCCCAGGAATGCAGCAGAAAATCTAAAAAGAGAGTCCTCGATCAGAAAGGGGCAGAGAGGAAGGAAATGAAGTTTTATCAGGGGCCGTCAGCCAACTTCCAAGTGTGTCCCTTTTGATTTTAGAAAACCTGCCAATTGGTTTGATTAAACATACTTCAGCAAGCAGTGCGAGCTTTAACAAACTTCATTTTCTCCGCAATCTTATTCCTCTGTTAAATCTTAAAACTCTGTGGACTTTGCAAAGATAGTACTCATGCTTAGGCATGAGCGATGTGTGTTGGAAAGTTAATATCTGCTGGGCCTTTTTAGAACAGAGGATCAGGGCACACACGCTGAAAATGCTGTGTTGTCTCTGCATGGAACCATGATGCCTGCCGCACAGCGGGCACTCGGCGTGCCCAGATGCTGTCCTCCAAAAGGCCAAGTGCTGCTCTGCTCTCCTCCGTCAGCTCTCGTTTCCAGGCAGGTGCCAGAGCCCCTCTCCCTCAGCACCCAGGCTTTCCTCTCTGCCTTCCTCCTGGTGGCCTCTTCCCAGAGGGTCCTCCAGGAGCGTGGGCTTGGGGCCTGACAGCAACACCCCTGCCACCTCCACTTGTGCCTGGCAGTTTCTTACCCTCACCAAGCATCAGGTTCCTCATCCCTAAACGAAGAAAGAAATACTGTTTTAAGGATTACTCGGTATCGTATGTTTCCTTGAGATAAGCACTAAGTAAACATTGCTACAATTCTTAGCCCTTCTCAAAGCCCATTTCAGATGCCCCAGGCAGCCCCCTAGAGCCCCGGGCCTCCCTCTGCCTTGAGGTAGGAAGGGAGAACACTTCTCAGAACACGTGCTTCTTACTGGGGTCCTTGTAGATGGAGATCTGGGAGCTAGGGCTTGGGGGCTGCCAGAACCAGTTTCAAATCCCAGTGATAATGAGAAGAGGTGGTTGTGAGGATTCTGTGTGTAAACGAAACCAGAGTCTGGCCTGGGTGGGCTACAGGAATTGGGCAGGTGTCACTGTCCCCCTTAGATGCTCCTGTTCTGTGAAGGCAGAGAGGGTAGCTTACCTCGCAGCTTTAAGCTCAGCACCCGGACACTATGTGCATGTCATGCAATCACTGTTGAACTGAGGTAATCCCGGAAAAATTTTATTTCCTTATTTTAGAACAAACTCACGATGTTGGATGTTGCATCAAATAGAATCAAAAAGATTGAAAACATCAGCCATCTAACAGAGTTGCAGGAATTCTGGGTAAGTTTACACACTGGGATTGATGACAGTTCAGCTGAACTGGTCGCGCTGAGTCAAGTGTCATGTGCCTGACGGCGAGGGGCTCTAGCCCTGTAAGTCTTGGCACAGAGTGGGACTGGGCTGGGCGCTGCTGTAGCAGTCATATTGCTGTTGTCCTTGCCGCCTCGGCATCACCGCAGGGCCTGTTAAAAATGCAGGGTCTTGGGCCGGCCCGGTGGCTTAGCGGTTAAGTGCACGCGCTCCGCTGCTGGCGGCCCGGGTTCGGATCCCGGGCGTGCACCGACGCACCGCTTCTCCGGCCATGCTGAGGCCGCGTCCCACATACAGCAACTAGAAGGATGTGCAGCTATGACATACAACTATCTGCTGGGGCTTTGGGGAAAAAATAAATAAATAAAATCTTTAAAAAAAAAAAAAAAAAAAAATGCAGGGTCTTGGGCCCCACCGTGCCCCAGATGCAGACTGAATCAAAGTCGGCATTTTAACAAGATTCTGGGTGATTGCAGAGCACGTGAAAGGATGAGACCCTAGAATTGCCATGTGACTAAGGGTTTCCAAACCCAGCCCAGGGGCCCATGCATTCAGTGCAGACATGTCCTGGCACCACAGGAGGAAGTGTGGGATGGGTTTCCGCAGTCAGCCATGCTGGAGCTGGCCTTGTATTTGTCTCATGGTGGAGGTGTGGTTTTCAGAAGGAGTATTGCAGAGCCAGTAGGAAGAGAAGCAGGATGTAAGAAGTCTGGAGACTCCTCTGAAGGGGTTGCAACATCACCAAGTTGAGTCCTCAGTGTCAGGATTCCATTAGGGCATTCTCATGAGGTTATTGCCTGTCCCCGAGCTCATGGCCCTCGCTGGGATCGTTGCACACGCTTCACCCTGTGACACTGTGAAGTGGATGTGGTCCTCGATGTGTTCAGTCTGATCCGAGATTCGTGCTCAGTCTGGGGCGTGATTCTTCCTCGTCTAGCCATGCTGCTGATCCTGCCTACATCCTGTATGTTTTCCTTTCCTCGTCTTAAAAGAGCATCCAAGTTTCCTTAGAACACAGTGGCCCACTGTGAAAATGTCCCTTGCCCCTTATTAATAGCACTGGGTCTTTGGTAGTATCAGGATGTGGTGCCAGAGCAAGTCTGGGAAGACCAGAACCAGAATTTGAAAGGTGGTAAAAGTGTCCCGGGCCGGAGGAGACAACAAGCCACCCTGAGCCCAGTAGGTCGAGTGTACAGCCCATTCTTGAGGGAGGGTGTGGCTGGTGGTAGGCTAGTTGGATTGGAGCAAAGGGATTTGGCTCTGAAGAGGCCAGGAAACCAGGTAGAAACCAGACGACAAGAATAAGGAGTACAGAGTCGCCTGGCCGACAGGAAAGGGGCCCCTGGCAGAAAATTTAGGGAGAGGGTTTTGGAAACCAGCTAATACTGAAGCAGTGTGTCTGAAATGTATGATTCGTTCTGCATGCCCTGCCTAGGGATGGGGCCTGAGACATGGGGTGCCGAGCCCATGGGTGGGAGCCCGACTATCAGGGAGGCAGGCAGGCTGGCAGTCACTGGAGGCTGAATCACACCCGACCCTATAACACACTGAGGAATCCTGTTTCTTAGACTACCAGACAAAAACAGTAAAAACAGGCAGAGTTTGCATGGTGCTTTATGGTGTCTAGACTGCTTACCGTTCAGATCTAATGATCACAACAACCCTCTGCAGCAAGTGGTAATACCGCATTTCACAGCTGAGGAATTGGGTTCCAGGAGGGGAAGCTGCAAACTAGGAACTCTCAAACTCTGTTCTGTGCTCATATCACATGTGAGATGTACTTAGCTACTAGCTAGTCTCTGAGGGAGGAGTAAAACACCAGTCTTAATAAATTTTTAATAACCCAAATTCTGTATTTATTGATTTTCTTTCTATTTGTTCTGCCACTTACTGAGAGAAAAATGTTAAAATCTCCCAACCGTAGTTGTGGATTTGTCTGTTTCTCCTTTCAGGTCCATCAGTTTTTGTGTCTTGTATTGTGAAGGTTTTTATTAGGTGCAGATGCATTTGGGATTGTAATGTCTTCTTGATGAATTATGCTTTTATCATATGAATCATCATGTCACTCTTTATCCTTGTCCTGCAAATCTACCTGTCTGTTAACACAGCCACTCCATCTATCTCATGATTAGTGTTTTCATGGATATCTTTCTCCATCCCTTTACTCTTAACCTGTGTCTGTATAACAGTTAAAAAGTGTTTCTTGTAGATAATACATAGATTTTGCTTTTTTAATCCAGTCTGACAATCTCTGCTTTTTAAGTGGAGTGTTTATTCTGCTTACATTTAATGCAATTTCATTTAATTGCATTAAATGTAAGCAACCCAACCTTAAATTGGGTTTAAGTCGACCATCTTGCTATTTGTTTTTTATTTGTGGGTTTTATTTGGGTTTAAGTCGACCATCTTGCTATTTGTTTTTTATTTGTCCCATCTGTTCTTTGTTCCTTTTTCTCTCTTATTTTGCCTTCTTTTTGGATTGAGAAAAAAAATTTTGTTTGATTTTCTGTTTATCTCCACTATTGACATATTTGCTTATACATATTCTGTTTTATTTTTTTAGCAATTACTCTACAAATTACAAAGTGTATTTTTAATTTATCACGATCTGCCTTCAAATAGTATTATACCACTTCACATATAATGTAAGACCCTTACAACAATACATTCCTCTCTCCGCCAGCTAATGCTGTCATACGTTTTACTTTTAAATATGTTATAAACCCCATGATACATTGTTATATCAATTATCTTTTAAAGAAATTTAAAAAAAAGAAAACACACTTATTTTACCATTTCTGGCATTCTTTATTCTTTTGTATAGTTTCCATTTGGTATGTCCCTTCCATCTGAAGAATTTTAACATATTTTGTTGTGCAGCCTGCTATAAACCAATCCTTTCAGCTTTGATTTGCCTGAAAATATCTCTTTATTTTGCCTTCATTTTTGAAGGACAGTATTACAGATATACAATTCTAGTTTGGCAGTTTCTTGGGGTTTTTGTCTTAAAGCACTTTTAAAATGTTGTTCCACTGTGCTCTGGTTTGCATTGTGTCTGGTGAGAAGTCATGAGTCATTCTTATCTTTGTTCCTGTGTGTATGTGTGTCTTTTTCCTCTCACTGCTTTTTTATATGTTCTTTTTATCACGGTTATTTTTTTGCAACTTGAATATGATGTGCTAGTGCTGACGTTCATTGAGCTCTTTGGATCTTTGAATTTATAGTTTTCATCAAATGTGGAAAACTTATGGAAATTATTTCCTCAAAAGTTTTTTCCACTCCTCTTTCCCCCAACTTCTTTCTGAAACTCCAGTTGTACATATGTTGTCCATTGGTTGGCGGTTAGACCATTGAGACTGGGCGCTCCCCGCCCACCCGGCTTTCATCTTGTGGGCTTCCCTTTGTATGTTTTCTGTTCCTGAACCTCCAAGGCCATGGTCTTTTCTTCTGTAATCTCCATCCTCTGTTAAGCCCATGTAGTGAATTTTTTATTTCGGATGTTGTATTTTTCAACTCTAAAAGAATATTTGGGGGGTTTTTTTGTAGATTCTATTTCTCTCCTCATTATGTTCATGTTTCCTTAAATCTTTCCTCCTTCACTTGACTAGTAATGTTTTATTAGGTGCTGGGCATTATGATGTTAAATTGCTGAGTATCTGGATTTTTGTTGTTTTCCTTTAGAGTGTATAGTCATGCATCACTTAACAACACCCGTTCTGAGAAATGCATCGTTAGGCAATTTTGTCATTGTGTGAACATCAGAGAGTATACTTACACAAACTGAGATGGTAGAACCTACTACACATCTAGGCTACGTGATACTAATCTTATGGGACCACTGTCGTATATGCGGTCCAGTGTTGACTGAAATGTTGTTATGCAGCACATGACTGTATTGGACTTGTTATCTGGCAGACAGTTAAGTCACTGCTTGATCCTTTTGAGGCTTGTTTTAAGCTTTATTAGCATGAGTCTGGGAAGCCTGTCTTCTGAGGCTAGGCTGTGACCCTTCTTGGGTCTCTAGTGAATGTCCTGGGTATTTAACAAGGTCTCTCACGCTGGTTGGTGAGAACACAAACATGTCCCTTCCCTGCGTGAGCCCTGGTCGTTGTTCAGATTGTGGCTTCCTGGCAATTGTTCTTTGACCTGTCTTGTAGGGTTTCACTCTGCCTTTCACAGTGTAGTTTTCAGTCCAAGATTCAAGGAGACACCTGTGAATTTCTGAAGCTTTTTTCCTGCATAGCTCACCCTTCTCCAAAAATTCCAGCTGCCTCTGCCTTCCCAAACTACATTCACCACATCAATTCGGTGTGGCCACCAGGCTCTGCTTGGGTTCCTCTGCCAGTGGTCCAGAAAGTGCCTCCAGGCAGAAGGCCAAGATGAGCATGGAGCTCGCCTCATTTGTTTCCCTTCTCTCAGGAATCACTGTCCTGTGTAGCCTATTGTCCAATGTTTGAAAATAGTTGTTTCTTATATATTTGTCTGTTTTCTAGCTGTTTATGACAAAAAAGGCAAGTCCAGCACCAGTTACTCCATCATGGCTTGAAGTGGAAGTCCTGTTTATTTAGTTAGTTTTATTTTTGTGTGTCTGTCACCCCCTGTAGAATGTAAGCCTCATGAGGGCAGAGGAGTTTGTGTGCTGGCCCCTGTTATCTCACCAGCCCCTAGAAAAGTGCTTGATGCATACTTGGGTGAGTGAGAGGAAGGAACATCCTAAAGGAAGGTTGGTCAGTTGGGTAGAGGTCAGCTGTAGATAACACTGGAAAGCGTGCTTGTATAAATGTATCAGATGAAGGTTGATATCATATGAAAAACGGCTCATATGAAGGCGCCATTGGAAAACAGGGAGTGGAGAATGAACAGGCAAGTCACAAAGAAGAAGTAACAGTTGCTTGTAAATACATGAAACATTTTCTGTCTCATTAATTTTTTAAAATACACTGAAACAATGAGGTGCAGTATTCTGGTGG